ACGCATGCGGGCGGTCCCACTGGGGCCACCGGTGGAGTTCCCCATGGGGCGGGCCACGACGCGCTGTGCTGGGTGGTGGCTGACGCATGCGGGCGGTCCCACTGGGACCTTTTGTGGAGCTCCCTACGGGGCCATGAAACGCTGAATTGGGTGGTGGCTGGCGCATGCGGACGGTGCCGTTGGGGCCGTCGGTGGAGCCTTCCATGGGGCCACGAAGCGCTGTGCTGGGTGGTGGTTGACGCATGCGGGCGGTCCCACTGGGACCTTCGGTGGACCCCCCTATGGGGCAAAGAAGCGCTGTACCGAGTGGGCGAAACGCAGGGAGGAAGGGCTGTGCTGGATGGTGGTTGAAGCATGCGGGCGGTCCCACTGGGACCTTCGGTGGGGCTCCCTATGGGGCCACGAAGCGTTGTATTGGGTGGGCGAAACGCAGGGAGGAAGGGCTGTGCTGGGTGGTGGTTGACGCATGCGGGCGGTCCCACTGGGTTTTTCGGTTGAGCTCCTTATGGGACCACGGAACGTTGTATTGGGTGGGCGAGACTCGGTGAGGAAAGGCTGTGCTGGGTGGTGGTTGACGCGTGCGGGCGGTCCCACTGGGACCTTCGGTGGGGCTCCGTATGGGGCCACGAAACGTTGTACTGGTGGGTGGGTGAAGCGCAGGGAAGAGGAATGATTGGGGAGGGAGGAGGGGGAGGAGGAGGAACGCGGTGACCGTCTTTTCAAAATTACGCTACCGAGGAACCCCACATACTTAATTCAAATCTTATGTGCTTGCTTAATATATATATATATATATATATATATGAATATATATATATATATATATATATAATATATATATATATATATGTATGCACAATCCTGCGTTCTGAGCCCTCGTCGCGAATGTTCCCTATGGGTCATCCAACGCGTCGAGAAAGTGCCACGCCTGCTAGGCTGTGCGCCAGTGTCGTGGATGGCGGCCGAGCTGAGAGACCACCCCCTGCGCACCCCCTGTGGTGTCGCGAAAGTGCCACGCCTGCTAGGTTTTGCGACAGTGTCGTGGATAGCGGCCGAGCTGAGAGACCACCCCCTGCGCACCCCCTGTGGTGTCGAGAAAGTGCCACGCCTGCTAGGCTTTGCGCCAGTGTCGTGGATAGCGACCGAGCTGAGAGACCACCCCCTGCGCACCCCCTGTGGTGTCGAGAAAGTGCCACGCCTGCTAGGCTTTGCGCCAGTGTCGTGGATAGCGGCCGAGCTGAGAGACCACCCCCTGCGCACCCCCTGTGGTGTCGAGAAAGTGCCACGCCTGCTAGGCTTTGCGCCAGTGTCGTGGATAGCGGCCGAGCTGAGAGACCACCCCCTGCGCACCCCCTGTGGTGTCGAGAAAGTGCCACGCCTGCTAGGCTTTGCGCCAGTGTCGTGGATAGCGGCCGAGCTGAGAGACCACCCCCTGCGCACCCCCTGTGGTGTCGAGAAAGTGCCACGCCTGCTAGGCTTTGCGCCAGTGTCGTGGATAGCGGCCGAGCTGAGAGACCACCCCCTGCGCACCCACCTGCGCACCCCCTGTGGTGTCGAGAAAGTGCCACGCCTGCTAGGCTTTGCGACAGTGTCGTGGATAGCGACCGAGCTGAGAGACCACCCCCTGCGCACCCCCTGTGGTGTCGAGAAAGTGCCACGCTTGCTAGGCTTTGCGCCAGTGTCGTGGATAGCGGCCGAGCTGAGAGACCACCCCCTGCGCACCCCCTGTGGTGTCGAGAAAGTGCCACGCCTGCTAGCCTTTGCGCCAGTGTCGTGGATAGCGGCCGAGCTGAGAGACCACCCCCTGCGCACCCCCTGTGGTGTCGAGAAAGTGCCACGCCTGCTAGGCTTTGCGCCAGTGTCGTGGATAGCGGCCGAGCTGAGAGACCACCCCCTGCCCACCCCCTTTGGTGTCGAGAAAGTGCCACGCCTGCTAGGCTTTGCGCCAGTGTCGTGGATAGCGGCCGAGCTGAGAGACCACCCCCTGCGCACCCCCTGTGGTGTCGAGAAAGTGCCACGCCTGCTAGGCTTTGCGCCAGTGTCGTGGATAGGGACCGCGGTGAGAGACCACCCCCTGCGCACCCCCTGTGGTGTCGAGAAAGTGCCACGCCTGCTAGGCTTTGCGCCAGTGTCGTGGATAGCGGCCGAGCTGAGAGACCACCCCCTGCCCACCCCCTTTGGTGTCGAGAGAGTGCCACGCCTGCTAGGCTTTGCGCCAGTGTCGTGGATAGGGACCGCGGTGAGAGACCACCCCCTGCGCACCCCCTGTGGTGTCGAGAAAGTGCCACGCCTGCTAGGCTTTGCGCCAGTGTCGTGGATAGCGGCCGAGCTGAGAGACCACCCCCTGCCCACCCCCTTTGGTGTCGAGAGAGTGCCACGCCTGCTAGGCTTTGCGCCAGTGTCGTGGATAGCGGCCGAGCTGAGAGACCAACCCCTGCGCACCCCCTGTGGTGTCGAGAAAGTGCCACGAGCTGTGCTGTGCTGTGCTGAGCTGAGCCGTGCTGGGCTGTGCTGAGCTGTGCTGAGCTGAGCCGAGCTGTGCTGTGCTGAGCTGAGCTGAGCTGTGCTGTGCTGTGCTGAGGTGAGTTGAGCTGAGCTGAGCAGTGCTGTGACGAGGGGGGGAAGAGTGAAGTGTGTGTGTGTGTGTGTGAGTGAGGGGAGGAAGAAAGAGAGAGGAGGGGAGGTGTGAGGAGACGCGGGTGCGGCGCGGCAGGGAAGAAAACCAGAACCCCACGAAGCATGTGGGGAATTAGGACCCAACACCACATGATAGCTGGGAACTATCATGGCGAAGGACCCAACCATGCGCAATTGTGAATACCGTGTTGTGGGTACCACTTTCGCTGGAGCTCCCTCTAGGGCCACGAACCGGGTGAGGGGTGCGCCGAAATGAGGCAGCGGTGCTATGCGGACGCCCCCACTGGGGCCTTCAGTGGAGCCCCCATATGGGGGCCACGAAACGTGTGAGGGGTTTGCCAAAATGGCGCGGCGGCGCTATGCTGGCGCTCCCGATAAGGCTTTTCGGCGGGGTTCCTTATGGTGTCACGAACCGTGTGAAGGGCGTGCCAAAACGGGGCGCCGGTGCCATGCGGACACTCCCGCTGGGGAATTCGGTGGAGCTCCCTATGGGGCCGCGAACCGTGTGAGGGGTTTGCCAAAATGAGGCGGCGGTGCCATGCGGACGCTCCCGCTGCGGCCTTCCCCGTTTGAGGGGTGCGCCAAAACGGGACGGCGGCGCCATGCTGACGCTCCCGCTGGTGCCTTCGGTGGAGTTCCCTATGGGGGCACGAAGCGTGTGAGGGGCGTGCCAAAATGGGGCGGGCTGCGCCATGCGGGCGCTCCCGCTGCGGCCTCCGGTGGAGCCCCTTATGAGGCCACGAAACGTGTGAGGGGTGTGCCAAAATGGGGCGGCGGTGTCATGCGGACGCTCCCGCTGGGGCCTTCGGAGGAGCCCCTATGGGGCCACGAACCGTATGAGGGGTGTGTCAAAATGAGGCGGCGGTGCCATGCGGACGCTTCCGATGTGAAGCCTTCGGTGGAGCTCCCTATGGGGCCACGAGCGGTGTGAGGGGTGTGCCAAAGTGGGGCGGCGGCGCCATGCGGACGCTCCCGCTGGGGCCTTCGGTGGAGCTCCCTATGGGGCCACGGACCGTGTGAGGGGCGTGCCAGAATGGGATGGACATGCGGAGAGCAGAGACAAGGGATGGGAGGATGGAGGAGGGGAGGGGGGAGCGGGAGGTGAGGTGAGGTGAGGTGAGGTGCGGTGAGACGCGGGGTGCTGTCTCTTCAAATCGAGGACCCGGTTGGGACAAACATATTTGAACACATGTTGTGCAAGCTACGTGGTGCACTCGATATGGGGCAATATTTGTGGTTCAGCATGTGTTGAGCAAGTACACTCGGTGCAAGCTACGTGGTGCAGTTGAAATCTTGATTAGTTTTGAGCTGTCAACTCCACTGCTCGCGTAGTTATCCCACCCACCCACTTGCAACTTGGTTTCCAAAACCCATGCGGCTGCGATTGCGATCAGTGCTTGGCGTTGGCTGGTGCATCTCTGCGGCAGCGCTAGCCCGCGCATGCTGGCGCGCACAGCGTCCAGTTGGTTTGGCGCGGCCGACGCGGCCACGGTGGCGCCGACCGCTGGGCACATCGTGGCGGGCACTTCAGTGCGAGTCGGTGACTTGGGCGGGCGCGGTATCATGGCGACGTCGACATCGGCAGACACGACGATGATGATGATGATGATGATGATGATGATGATGATGATGATGCTGATGCTGATGATGATGATGATGATGATGATGCTGATGATGCTGATGATGATGGTGATGACGATGATGGTGGTGGTGATGATGATGATGATGATGATGATGATGATGATGATGATGATGATGATGATGATGACGACGATGATGATGATGATGATGATGACGGTGATGATGACGATGGTAACGATATGGTGACGATGATGACGGTGACGACGGCAAGGCCAATGACGGCGCCGATGCTGATCACGCAGACGACGATGAGTGATGAAGGTTTCTGAAGGAGTTCGGCATTCGTGCGCGGCCGACGCGCGGCCCGCGTGGTTTTAATTGACACGGGTTGTGCCCCCCCCCCAGCGCGCACGCCAGGGCGTTCGAACGATTTCGACATGCGGCGCGAGAGGCCCGCTTGGTCGAATTGGATGATTATTGTGAAACACCGATTGTTTTTTCACATTTTTAAACAAGGAACTCGCAGGGGCACGGGCGCAGACCTTTTTTTGATAACTCATGTTGCGAAACCATGTTTGCACAAAATGCTTTCGGGACACCCGATTGTGACATCTCTACGCAACCTGCGGTTTTCTAAGATTCCAGCATGCGCGCGCGACGACGCCCGCGCGTGCACTTCGTCCCGTGTGTTGCGCAGGATTCTTGTGACAGCACGCGCGCAAGGGCGTTCGAACGATTTCGACTTGCGCGCGTCCCTCCTTGCCTCCCCTCGTGCCGCGCAGGATGCCCTTGGATTGGGACGAGCTCGAGTTCGCGAGGCACTTCGATCACTACGGAGATCTCATCTCCTGCACGATCGTTCGGGACAAGGACTCTGGCGAGTCGCGCGGATTCGGCTTCATCGGCTACTCGGACCAGGAGGCCGTCAGAAAAGCGATCCTGGGAATGGACGGCCTGCCTGTGGGGCCGGCCCTGGAGCTGCCGGGGAAGTTTTTGTCTGTCAGCCCGAAGCGGGGAGAGGATCGAATGTGAAGAAATTTCGAGCGCCAAGATTATACACCACCACCACAGCCTCGATTCCCCATCCCTCTTTCACCCTCCTCTTCCTCTTCCCTTTCCATGGAAACAGAGGGGATGAGGGAGGTGGTGATGGTGTATATTGTTGGGCCCTGTGGAAACGGCACAGTCATGGTCTTGGATCTCTTGGATCGGCGCTGGACCCTCTTGGCGGTGCCTCCAGCGCCGCCCCTGGCGCGCCCCACGCGCCAGAGGGGGGTCCAGCGTCCAGCGCCGATCCAAGAAATCTGCGTGCACCTCCGAAGGTTTATCCTTATGCAAGTTGCATTGTTTTTCTAACAGAGGAGCACCTGCTCGTTCCGTTCCCGGACTGCTATCCGCCCGCCGGCGTGTACGGCACCGAACCCCCGAATACCCGTGCGCCTCCGGGGGCAAACCTTTACATCTACAACATCCCAGCGGAGTGGAGAGACATTGAACTCTACCGGCACTTCATTCACTACGGGCAGCTCACGAGCGTGAAGGTAATGATGAAGGACGAGAACAAGGAGAGCCGTGGTTTTGGATTCGTCGGCTACGTCAACCCCATATCCGCACAGCGAGCGATGGCCGGCATGACCAACTTCTGCATCAACGTGGACGGATCGGGCAAGCGGATCCAGGTGACGTCCAAGAGGGGCGAAGAGTCGGCGGCGCGGAAGTGCAAGGCGGAGATCGCCTTCAAGGACCCGGCGCACCCGGACTACCAGAAGGAGCCGCCCGAGGAGATAGAGGCTGGAGCAGCCATGGCGGAGAGCCTGGGGGTCAGGGCGCACTAGTGGGGCGTCTGAGCGAAGCATCTGCCTGCCGCTGCTGCGGAGGGCGCCAGCTGGACAACGAAAAGCCTGGTCCTGGCCGCGCCAGCGCTGGGCCCACGATCGACCTGTGCACCACTGTTCGGGCCAGGAGCCCGTCTACACCGATCCCGGGCCCGAGATGGTGTGGATGTTTGGCGTCCCATGCGGTGCAGCGCGTGTTCGCCAGCATCGAGGCACCACGTAGGTATCAGGTGATATTCATAAGATTCAGGGTCGCCTGCCATGAAAAAAAATGCTTGCGCCGCGGCCGCCGACATCTCTAATATGCCTATGAGTGGTGGGATGCGTTTTGGAGGACCAAATCTGCACATAGAGGGTGAGAGAGAGTGAGAGAGTGATAGGGAGAGAGAGAGAGGGAGAGAGATAGAGAGAGAGAGAGAGAAACAGAAAGACAGGGAGGGAGACAGGGAGAGAGGGATGATGATGATGATGATGATGATGATGATGATGATGATGATGATGATGATGATGATGATGATGATGATAATGATGATGATGATGATGATGATGATGATGATGATGATGATGATGATGATGATGATGATGATGATGATGATGATGATGATGATGATGATGATGATGATGATGATGATGGAAACCAATCTGACTCGGACGAAGGGAGGGAGGATTCGGATCAGAGGAGGGGGGGTAACACCAGGAGGATGATCGAAGGAGGTTAGGAGCAGCTCCTCTTCCTGCTTCCCCCACCCCTCCTCGTCTGTGATTGTTCCCCTCCCCTCCTCCTCCTTCCTCCTCCTCCTCCTCTAACCTCCTTCTCCCCTGTACATCCACTTGATCACTGCCCTGTACAACGAACAGCACTGCTGGGCCCGTTTGGGCGCCAAGTCTTGCTAACTCTGTCAGGTGCTGACGGGGGTCGCTCAAGGCTGCCCTCTTTCGGGCACGAGTTGGGCCCTTACTACCGCCACATTTGTCGAGGCCATGCCAGGAGCTCTCGGCCTGTCCTCGCGACCCCTGCTGGTCCGCCCGCAGGAGCTGCTGGTTGGACTGGGCCGCGAAGCAGAGCTCGGACTTTGCGCTGACGATCTTGGGGTGGTGCTCTGGGAGTTGGCATCTATTCGTCCTCTCGCCGTGCACCCTGGTGCCATGAGCCAGTTGGCGTGCCTCTCTCTGCAGCCGGGGAAGTGCGTGTTGGTCCCGTTATGGCTGTCGACGGCCTAGCTTGTTCATGCCCGAGACTCGATCCGAGCAGCTTTGACTGAGTTGGTCCCGGAATGGAAGAATTTCACGATCGAGTCCGCGGCGAAGTACCTTGGATTTGTCCTTGGACCAGGTGCGACCCTCGAGGACTTCTGGCTCGGGTCCTCGAACAAGTATCGATCCCGGGTGGCCACCCTCAGGAGAATTCCCGCGACCACCCTCGAGGTGATCAATGTCTACAATTCTTCTGCAATCACGGTGTTGTCATACCTGTCTCAACTCCTCCCGCTTCCGGAAACCGTGCTCAAGGCGGAGATCGACGTCTTGCACGGTCTCTTGAAGGCGCCTCCGAAGTCGTTCAGCCTCTCCGATCTCTTCAGCATGCGCATCTGGTCCTCGTCTCCGACTTTGTCTTCGCTGTTACCTTCGGCCTGGGCCGCAGCCTGGCGCACGAGAAGCACCACGCTCAAGGGCTGGAGGAAGTTCGCGGAAGCATGGAAAGAGCGCGTCTTCGACGACCTCGCGCTGGCGCTGGTCATCGCAGGGAATTGGACTTCTGCTTGTTGGGCTATGCCCCAATCCATGGTGCGGTATCTCATCGCCGTCGACTCTGGGACGGGGTCGGCACTTAACGAACGGCCCTGGCGCAAGAGGCAAAGAGCCCTGTTGCTTGCCAATCGCGCGGCCAAGACTGACTTGCGGGAAGCTGCCCTCCGTGACCGGCGACCTCACCTTCAACGCGTTCCCCTGGAGGCGGCCTCGGCCGCGCTCTACCCCGAGATGTTCCATGTCACGATTGCCAAGAGGATCGACAAGTCTTGGTGGCCTCAACTCGCAGTGCCGCCAGATGTGGCGGGCGGGTGGCGGCGCCTTCGACACCAGCTCTCGGTTGCTTCCCCTGGTATGTTGTGGGCGAACTACCGCACGCTGGCAGGAGCCTGGCCTACATCCTTCCGGATGCACGCGGGCATCTGCCATTTGCCTTGCCGGTTCGGTTGCGAGGGCTGCAACGACGAGATCGCTGCTTACCTGACCTGTCGCGGGGCCTGGTGGGCGGCCTGCCAGGCGACGTGGTCATTCGCGCAGTCGTTTGTGTTACATAAGTGGGGCCTCGGTGAAGAACCAGCATATCAAGACGCTGAGGATGTAGAGAACAACCTGCCGCAGACTGTAGCACGGTTGGCGCGCCTCTACCACATTCACAACATTCTTCGCCACCGTCCAGGTGAATACGTCCAACCGCAGGACGCGGCAGTCGCAGCGGCGAGGGTCGCAGCACACCAGGTCAAGGTTCCACCGTCGACATCTCCAAGAAGTACTACTGAGAGGCCTCGCTGGCCGCGCTGGCCGCGCGGCTAGTGAGCCATCTAACCCGCCACCGCCACCTGCGGGCGCGCTCCTCCTCCTCCTTTTCCTCCTCCTCCTCCTTCTCCTTCTCCTCCTCCTCCTCCTCCTCCTCCTCCTCCTCCTCCTCCCCCTCCTCCTCCTCCTCCTCCTCCTCCTCCTCCTCTTCCTCCTCCCCCGCCAACGACGTCGATTACGAGCGACGGCGGCGACGACCGAGCGACCGACCGACGACGACAACGATCAGCGACGACGACCACGACCGACCGACCGATGAGGACCGATGACCAGCGACGACGACCGACGACGACGATGACGATGACGAAGACGACGACGACAACGACGAATGACCGATGGGAGACGACGGGCGCCCACGACGGCGACGACGATGGACGCCAACGACGGCGACATCGACACATGAGCACGAGGACGAGGACGACAAGGGCGACCCGCGACCCGCGACCGGCGACGGGCGACTGACGACGTCGTCGGCGTTCGCGCGGTTGGGCGGTTTGACCGACAACGATGACGGACGACGACGGACGACGACGGTTGTCGACGGACGATGACGACGGCGACAATGAACGAGCGTATGCGGTCCAGTGGATCGTTCGGCGGGCATTTTGCCGAGATCGGGGCGCGAATCGCCAGACAGCGCGAACGCCGACGACGCCGTCGGTCGGTCGCCCGTCGCGGGTCGCGGTTCGTCGTCCTCGTCCTCGTCCGTCGATGTCGCCGTCGTTGGCGTCCATTGTCGTTGCCGTCGTGGGCGCCCGTCGTCTCCCGTCGGTCGTTCCTCGTCGTCGTTGTCGTCGGTCGTCGTCGTCGTCGGTCGTCGGTCGTCGTTGGTCGGCCGTCGTCGGTCGTCGGTCGTCGGTCGTCGGTCGTCGGTCGTGGGTCGTCGTGATTGTCGTCGTCGTCGGTCGTCGTCGTCGTCGGTCTGTCGTCGTTCGTCGTCGTCGACGTCGTCGTCGTTGTCGTCGTAGTTGGTCATCGTCGGTCGTCGGTCGTCGGTCGGCGTTCGTCGTTCGTCGGTCGTCGGTCGTCCTTCGTCGTTCGTCGTCATCGTCGTCGTCGGTTTTCGGGCGTCATCGTCGTCGTTATCGTCGTTATCGTCGTCGTCGTCGTCGTCGTCGTCGTCGTCGTCGTCGTCGTTGTCTGGAGTTGTCCGTGTTCGTCGGCGGGCGTCGAGGGTATGCCGCGGGTGCTCCCCGCCAAAACCCGGCGGCGCGGAGGGCGCGCGGCGGGCGGCGTCGGCGCGCAGAGTGCTGCCGCAAGACTCTCTGGTGTGCTTGCTTGTTGTCTGCCAAGACTGGGCAACCAACAGACAAGGTATCAGCCTCGACAGCTTACGGTCGGGAACTCCGGGATAGGGTGTCGCTCCGCCAGTTCTGGCCCGCCGCACCTCGGTGCGACACGGTATCCACTCTTGGCCCACAAGTGCGAAGTACAAATATCGTGTTGGGAGGAAGGGTTGGGAAGATGCAGGGTGCCCAGTCAATACACGAGATATTACTCCCAACTCCATTCTCCCAGCCCGATTGTTGCATTTCTGGACAAGCGTCCGCGCCCCAAGTTGTTCCGAGCCTCCCGCCCCGTGCAGCGGTGCGACACACTATATGCTTGCAAAGCACAGTATGTCGCCGGGGCCGCCGCGGCGACACGCTATCCGCAAGTTCCCAACCGTACCCTGGAGTTTTCACTCCAGACCACGAATCTTGCAAACCAATAAGCTTAAGCCTCCAAACTTCTTGGCCCAAGATGTCTGGAGGCTGAAGTTTTTGTGTGCGCAGCGGAGCACTGATCTTGGTTTTCTGCTCTCTCGCACTTGTTTTTGCCGTCTGGTGAGCTTTTCCGAGGGGGGGCTCTCAGACAGCTCACTGCCGCCGCTGCCGCCGTCCGCGCCGCTGCCCGCCCCGGACGCCGCCGCCCGCGGAAGAGCCCGACCAGACCCCCCACCCGAGAGGTCCGCGAGCGCCCAGGCGGCGGCGCCGCCACGCCGCAGGCCACGCCGCCAGCGGCCGCGCCGGCGGCCGCACCGGAGCCGCGGCCGCCGGAGCTGATGCTGCCCCCGCCGGCGAGCGGCCGGGTCAAGAAACGGCACCGGCCGCGGCGGCCGCGGCGACGGTGCGCTACACGGCCGACGCTATCTCTAAGTTCACGGGCTGGACAGGTCCTGATTCTCCGCGGCAGCCCAGAGACTCTGAGCCGCACGGCGGCGGCGGCTACGGCGGTGGAGGCGGCGACGACGCGCGTGGGCCCTCGGGCGCCGCGGGAGCAGAGAGCACGGCTCGGCGTACTTGCCCCGCTGTTCGGGCTCCCGTTGAGGCCCTCGCGGGTCGTTCTGGCTCGCTCGCAGAGGCGGGGACAGGCAGCGCTGAGGGGGGTCGCCAGCTTCCCCCCAGGATCGAGGCTGGAGAATCCTGGATCCAGATGACTGCTGGGCGAGTTGCGTT